AAATAGAATAGTTGCTCCAGGAAAATTCATGATATTTATTCAAAGTGACCTTGGGTCCAGAGAACCTGCCTCCTTACAGAAGCAGGCTTTAGAAAGCTGTAAATAATTGTCATTTTATATGTTATTTATATATTTGCTCAGCTGTCTATACTTATGTTTTTTGTATACTAGATGTGCTTTTCTGTTTTGCCTTCACTAATGTTCTCCTGGGAAAGAACCAAGCTGTAAGTTCCTTCATGTAGAATGCCAAGAGAGCACAGACATTTGAGCAATGCTTTTGACACTGCTGATGAAGATCAATATTTCAAGCACTAATTAGTGCAACTAATGTTCTTGGTATGATTGGAAGTATGCCTGAAAACAGTTGAAAAACTTCTACTTGTAACATCTTTCTCGTGAGAATTATACCTGAGACTGTGAGGTTCAATTCCGTAGTCATTTCTTTACCTATTAAGCCCCAGGTATTATTGCAAAAATCAGCAGGCTCAGTCATCAAGTTCATAGCCAAATGCAGGCTGCATTAAAGATAAGCCTAGCTGATCAATATTTAACATCTGTTCATTCCCCAGTCCTTCCAGAAGAAAGACATGCTGAAAAATGGCTTTTTAGCTCTATTTTTCACATGGATAAAAAACCAAGGCTACTTTCTACTCTCTAACAGAGAAGAAAGAATCTTAAGAGGAGTTTCTCCCCATGTTAAAGATGGAGAAGCAGGCTGAGACTAGCTGTCTCTGATGTGTCCCCTGAGGGGAATGTTTTTATTAATGTCTCCAAGAACCTAGCTGTTCCCCCTCAGAATGGCTCAGTCGAGAGTTTATACAGCGTACTTATTAAGGCCATATCAGGACAGCAGCTTAACCAAGCATGAATGTCAGCCAGGCAGGAGTAGCTTCATTTCCTTGCAACCCTCCTAGGTTGTGACTAGAAATTGTTTTGAAAGACAAGCTTGTGCTCAGAGAATGGAGAAAAGCAAGTTTTACAGTTCCTGACCTATGATGATTTACTGTATAACCTGAATGCCAAGTTAATGTGCCATATATCCTGGGGATGCCAACAATAACAGATCATTCTCCTCACTGTCCTCTGTGTGTGTGTGTGTGTGTGTGTGTGTGTGTGTGTGTGTGTGTGTAGCCATCCACAAAACAAGAAATGGTATTTTCTGTGACTCCATTTCTAGGAATTGATATAATACTGTTGCTGGGTAGAGAGGCTATCAGGCCCTGTGCTGGCATGGAGCAGGGTCTCACAAGATCTACACTGTATCACTAAGTAGCAATAGATGTAGGTCATTTCAGATAAAAAAAACAAAACAAAACAAAACAAAAAACAAAAAAAAACAAGGAAGTCTAAGTTTTGTTTTGTTTTTTTCTAAATTTCTAAAGGAGTCTCTACAAACTTTATCACTACTGCATCCACTGGCAGATCTCCCTATCAGACATAAAGGCAGGGAAATAGTGCCAGAGCATGACCTAAAAGCAGAAGCTGCCAGCTCCCAGCCAGGGACAGAAGATGAGCTACAGGCCTGGGGCTGTCTTTGTCAGTTTGTGTTGCTATAAAGAAATATCTGAGGCTGAGCAGTTTATAAAGAAAAAGGGTTTATTTGGCTCATGGTTCTACAGACTGTACGGGAAGTATGGTGATAACATCTGCTTCTGACAAGGGCCTCAGGAAGCTTCTACTTATGGGGGAGGGTGAAGAGGAGCCACATATGCAGATCACAAGTTGGGAGAGGTGGCAGAGAGTGTGGAGGAGATGCCAGGTTCTTTTCAACAACCAGTCCTCACGGGAACTAACTGCAAGAACACTCTCGAGAATGGCACCAAGCCATTGATGAGGGATCCACCCCCATGACTCGAACCCCTCCCACTAGCCCCTACCTCCAACACTGGGGAGCAAGTTTCAACATAAGACTTGGAGAGGGCAAACAAACCATATCCAAACCATAGCAGGGGCACAGGGGCATAGGCCTCCATTGGATTAAAACTCTCCTTTGAAGGATTTCACTTAGCCCCTTCCATTTTTTGTCCAAATAAGGGATTACTCTTCCCATTTTGCCAGTGCAGGAAATGAGACCCAGACTTTGCCACGTCCTAGGTTTGTGATTCAACCAATGCTCCATGCTCATGAGAAGCTGCTAAAATGGGACACTGTGCAAACAGGAGTTGTTCTGTACATTCTCACAGCTCCATCCAGTCTCTGCAGTACTCAACCTGGCAGATAAACCGCCTTCCTCATAAGACCCCAGAACAACAATCAAAATGGAATCTTTCCAACTCCTACCTCATCTTCCTCAAACTTTTTCTAATCCAAGCTGAATTCCTATCTCTGTTTTCATAGATGGTGGATTCTCAATCTTCCCCCTTACCTTCTTCAAGTATGTTTGGTGAAATAAGATGGAATAGGTTAGGATATTGTTAGTGGTGCAATTCTGGTAGAAGAGGTTCATTCCTTCATAAAAGGTGAGGACAAAAGAAAGCCAAATCAAAAGGTCTAGGAATTAGAATTCTAGACCTGTGTGGTCTGATAAGGTAGCCACTAGCCACACATGGCTACTGAGCACTTAAGATGTGCTACATGCAACTGAAGGGCAGGATTCTTTATTTCATTTAATTAACAAACAAATTTTAAAACTGACCATTGGATTAGATTGTTGGAAAGCCTAGGTATGTATGCAGCAACATAGGCTTGTAATTCTACTTCCCCAACCACAAATACTATGAAATCTAAATGCACATTGAATATTTCCAACGAAAAGGTAGTGTCTGAACTTAGATGTGCAATACACATAAAATATAACCAGAGTTGAAAGACTTAGTAGGAAAAAATGTAAAATAGCTTATTGTTAATTTTTCCTATTGACACATGTTGAAATGATATTTTAGATATACTGTATTAAATAAAATATATCATTACGATTGCTTCCACCTGTTTATATGCATTTTTTAAACGTGGCTCATGGAAAGTTTTTAATTACATATTATATTTCCACTGGTTCTCCACTCCAGATGTTTAATGTCACTGGGGATAGTGCTGGAGAGGGAATACCCTAGTCCAGAGCTTCATTCCTCACTCACCCTCTCCTACTGCTAGTCACTCCAGATCATTTTCCAATCCTCACCTTCCTCGGTTTTTATATTATTAATTATGGTGAATATTGACTTCCCCTCACCCTTACCCTCTTCCAGCAATCCTTCCCTCCTAAGGCCTACTCCAGTCTCCTCTCTTCCACCTGGCTTTTGAACATTCATATTCTATAGGAATAAGCTTCCTCTTCGCTCCCCTTTTCCCAGGCTCTTCCCTGCACACTACCTTCTCTGAGTCTTTCTGATCATCCTGTTTAAACTGCTCCGTTAGAGGTCAAGGGGAGCGGCATCCGGGCATGTGCTCATTCAGGCCTCCACTCCCACAGGCACTTGAGGGGTGGGTTTTACCTCCATTCCACCTTTTCTTTGTCTCCCGTGCCCTTTCTCAGTGCCCCCGTACCTTAGGTTGGATTTCTAGGAAACAGACTCTGCACGGAGATGAAGATCGGCACGTGGGAGGTCTCCTGGGAGGTGCTCTTGGGAACACCACCTTGGGAGAGTGAGGGAAGCAGGATTCGGCAGAACATACACTTGAACGGTGCTGCTTTCCACAGAGGCCTCCGCGGATCCCTTGGGAAGCTATGGAGCTGGGGTGGCCCTTCAGGACCCTCCCTAATGGAAGGAAAGAGATGAACCTTTGTATCCCCGCATCAACCAATTGGATCCAGATGCCTCCCCAACCCCGAAGGAGTGGCAACCTGGTTGATACAACCCATCACTCACATAGTTATCTTGAACTTGCCCAGAGATCTCCTAATTTCTAAATCTAAACCTGTTTTCTTTGGCGTCCTCCTCTTTGGTGTCCCTGCAGCTCGGGCCCCCATTGAACACCCCTCTTCTCCTGGGCCCTGTCACCCCGCAAAGTCCTGACCCTCCCTCATGGTTTCTCCTGATGGTTTCCGTTCCTTTCCTGGGCCTCCTCTCCATAGACCGAGGTTCTGTCTTCAGCCCCGTTCTCTCTACCTTTTCTACCCTCTCCTTCCACCTCTCGTGTCTGCCCACCTTCTTTCCAGACGATTCCAAAATTTGCAACTCTTGCCTCAGCCTCTCCCATGAACCCCAGAATCACCTTTCCAATTGCATTTGCTGGATATCTGTCCCTGGAAGAAGGTGGCTTCTTCTCCAGTCCAACTTGCCCCACACTAAACTCAGGCTCACATCACTCCAGGTTCTCTTCCAGGCTTACAGCCCGTGTGCTCCTCCCGCACCACGCGCAGCGAGCTCTGTAGATTCTCCTTTGCCGCAGCTTCCGCACTGATCCCCCAGTTAAGGTCTTCATCTCACGGGACTATTGCAATCATCTCCTTTCCGCGAGGCCCCTCTGCGAAGCTCTTCTCAGCAGCCAGCCCGGGTATTTAGAACACTGGTGCTCCAGGTGCAGTGGCTCCGTCAGCATTCCCTGCCTCCCGTGGCTTCCCTACTCTAACAACTTGCTAAATAGGTAGTCTTACTCACTGCAGCTGAGTTTCAAAAGAACTCTGTTGGATAAGCACGAGGCCCTTGTTACTTTGAGAAACACGTAATACATGCCCCACTGTTAGGGCCGGTCCAGTTAGAGCCAGCTTTGCACCGCCACCTAGGCACAGCAGGGACAGATGGCCTCTCCTCTCTGCTCTTCCTTTTAGCTTCAGAATAGAGAGACCTTGATTCTCCCCGGGGCCCAGAGAATGTAAAGCTGATGGTCGACAGGACTCCGAGAGGGACAGGGCAGTGATGGGGGTGGTGACGAAAGGGAATGGAGAGGCTCTCTCTTAGCAGACAGGCTTTGGGAACCCCCAAAGGCCAACCTCTCCCAGGGGCCAACAAACGTAGGCGGCAAGGAGACCTAAGCCGGGAGCTGAGGAGGGCGGGGAGTTTCAAAGCCGCTCCGCTGCCCCCCGCAGGGATTCCCCGGGCAACCACACAGCTGCCTCGCACTCTTAATTCCCTCCGCGTGCTCTGCATCGCAGAAAGCCCAACTCCCAAACAAAGAGCCGGCAGCTCGCGTGCGGGGCTCCTGGGCGCGTCCTGCCGGCGGGGCTGGGAGAGCCGGCGCCGGGGCGTCGCGAGCGCGGGCGGGGGAGGCGCGAGGGCCGCAGGAAGCCTCCGTGGGCGCGGGGGCGCGGGCCGGGCTGCCCGCACGCTGACCTTCCCCGGCTGGGAGGGACGAGCACTGGCTGCCAGCGGTGGGCGGCTGGGCGGCCCCGGGAGCCTCTGCTCTCCGCCTTTCCAGGCGCTGCTCCCGTCGCCGCGTCCGGAGCCCCTGGCCGGGTAAGTGCCGCCGCGCGCCGGGAGAGTGGGGGCGCCGCGGGAGAGGACTGGGGACCTGGAGAGGCGCCTCCGCTGCCCGCCCCGCCCGCGGTGCCGACCAAGATAGACTGTCCCGAGCTTCCCCTGGGCAGGCAGAGGGGAGCCGGCTGGGGATGAGAAGTGGAGGAGGCAGGAACGCCTCGGACGCTCGCGGGGCATGGGACACTCAGCGCGGCGCCCGTAACTACGCGCCTGTGTCTGCTTTCTGCACTTGTGCTTTGGGAGAGAGCTCTGGGCCTCTGCGGGCCTCGTGTCGTCCAGCGTGCCTGAGGTATGTCTGTCCTCTTGAAAATGTCATTCTTTGTCCACCCTAGCGGCCGCTCATGCGGACACCAAGATGACAGACCCAGCGTTGTCTTAGCAAGACGCTCACGGGGGCGGGGGACCTTGCCAGCGTATGCAGGGGTTAAGTGCTGGCAGCTGCTGTATCTGGTGCACCTGGCTTTCAGAGGGCCTGTCTGCCTGTGCAGGGGTGTCCCCATGTTCCCTGGGCATATCTGTGTATTTGTGACAACATGGCTCTGTAGCCCCTGTCACCTGTGTTTTTGTGCCCATCCTTGCACGTGCAGTTGGCCGGCTCCATGTGAAAAGAAGGTGTGGAAGGTTCTGGGGTATATCCTTTTCACCAGCGATATGTGCAGTGTGCACGTGTGTGAATTGGCAGGAAAGTCTGAAAGGGAGGCGGCCCAGTTGCCCTGGGCGGGACAGCTGTGTGTGCAGGAGGAGTAAATGTTCCAGAGGTCTCCAGTTGGTGGCAAGTAGTGGGAGGTAGGGAGAAGAGGCAGCTTCTGGAAAAACTCCTAAGTGCACTCTGGAGCATAGGGTGTGTGCCGGGCAGAGCGTAAGGAAGAGAATGAGGGTGGTATTAGGCCAAAGTGGGTAGTCTGTGTTCAGTTTGTGGGCAGCTGGATTGTAGTGGAAAGCAGCAGTTGAAGGCTGGAGACAGGTTTGAGTCAGCACTTAATGGTTGTCACTGGGTCAGTAGCATTGTTCCCTGGACAGGTAGGTCATCTGGGGTTCAGTTGCTTTGCGTGCAAAATGAGAGTAATAACCACTGGCCCACCAGTCTCCCAAGGGACTGAAGGTTCCAATTAATTAATGCCAGGGAAGTGCTTTGATGGTGGTTAGAACTCTTAAGGCGAGGGGCCCTACTGGCCCACAGGTGCCGGGTTGGTGGTCTGGCCAGTGCTTAGGTGGCCCAGAGCTGTTTGGTTTGTGTGTAGCAGGGGGAGGCATTTACATGCTGCTTCCCACAATATTCAGCACAATAGAAATTTTACACCCAACTTTGGACTCGTGTAAAATATGTACAGGCCTGTGTGATTCCCCATAGTTCCTGTGTGAATGCCTGCTGCAGAACGAGAGGAAAACTGGCTTTGATGTCTTTAAGTCTCCCTAGAATACCTTGAGTTTCCAGAGAGCCTTTCTCCAGATGAGCCCAGGCTGTTTATACTCACCAACTTGCTTTTATCTTTATGCTGCCAAATGAAGCGGGAAGGAGCACCCTCCACAGTTTGCAGTTTGCAGCCAGAGACAGGAGATAAAGAAGCTTTCTGGCCAGGCATGGTGGCTCATGCCTGTAATCTAAGCACTTTGGAGGCCAAGGCAGATGGATTACCTGAGGTCGGGAGTTCAAGACCAGCCTGACCAACATGGTGAAACCTTGTCTTTTATTTAAAAAAAAAAAAAAAGCTTTCTCAGCCAAGCTCACAGGTCTAGGCTGTCCACCACAGAGTTCTGTCTCTTGGGTTACAGCACCTTCAGACCCAGGGCCAACCCTGGACTGGGCTGAAGAAGGAGTGAGGGCATGCACAGGCAGGGTACGGTGGCTCACACCTGTAATCCCAGCACTTTGGGATGCCGAGGCAGGTAGATCAAGATGTCAAGACATCGAGACCATCCTGGCCAACATGGTAAAACCCCAACTTTACTAAAAATGCAAAAATTAGCTGGGCGTGGTGGCGTATACCTGTAGTCCCAGCTACTCAGGAGGCTGAGGCAAGAGAATTGCTTGAACCTGGGAGGCAGAGGTTGCAGTGAGCTGAAATCTCACCACTGCACTCAAGCCTGGTGACAGAGTAAGGCTCTGTCTCAAAAAAAAAAAAAAAAAAAAAAAAAAAAATGTCGTATACAGACAGCACCGAATTCCAAGATGTGGTTGGGTGGTTTGTCCACCCTCGGATGTCACCTGTCACTGAGACTTCTTTGCATGTGGTAGCTGTGTAGTAATGTTCGTAAAAGGAAAGATCATTGGGTGGGGGATGCTGGCAACCCAAGTCAGGTCCCAGCTCAGCTCCCTGCCTGGAGAAGGTCACATCACCTCTCTGGGTCTGCTTCCTCTTTGGTCCAAATCAGGGCATCTTTCCAGATTATCATTCCAATTTCAACTGTGTTTTGCTTCCTCAGAGAGGCCTTTCCTGATCCCCCATCTAAAGTAGCCACCTCACAGCCATGATGACATCCTTGTTCCCTCGTAGCTCTTGCGACCTGTCTGAACTTAGCTCTGCCACATCCTACTACAACGTGAACTCACTGAAAGTGGGGCTGCCTTTGTGATGTTACCTGCTGGCTCCACCTAGAACACAGTAGATACTCAAGAGATATTATTGTGTGAACAAGTGAGTGAACAAATTAATAAGGGGGTGTGCATGTGTGTTTTTCTTTTTTTCTTTGAGACGGAGTTTTGCTCTTGTTACCCAGGCTGGAGTGCAGTGGCGCGATCTCGGCTCACCGCAACCTCCACCTCCTGGGTTCAGGCAATTCTCCTGCCTCAGCCTCCTGAGTAGCTGGGATTACAGGCACGCGCCACCATGTCCAGCTAGTTTTTTGTATTTTTAGTAGAGACGGGGTTTCACCATGCTGACCAGGATGGTCTCGATCTCTTGACCTCGTGATCCACCCGCCTCGGCCTCCCAAAGTGCTGGGATTACAGGCTTGAGCCACCGCACCTGGCTACAAGTCTGTTTTTCAAATTGTACTCCCAGAAGCTTTCAAGGGCAAGAGCAAGATCCATTGGCAGGCCTCCAGGTCCCTCATACCAGCAGTTTGGGGTCAAATTAAATTAAATTACATGTCAGCTTCCAGATAGGATCTCCTTTGAAGAAAGGGCTCTCCCACTAAAATAAAACTAGAAAACCATTGCACTAGAAGACTTAGAGGGGTCTTTCAACTCCAAGTAAAAATAACAAACAGTACTGCAGTTGGAAGAAATGGACGCTTGGCCCTCAACGAGGATTATAGGCAGGATTCAGATGTACAAAGTAGTTATTCCACAAGCCATTTCTGCTTAGCCACGGAATTCATCCTATGGCTTTTTTATTTTTATTTTTATTTTTAATGAAGTCTCACTCTGTTGCCAGGCTGGAGTACATAGTGCAATCTCAGCTCACTGCAACCTCCATGGCGCGCGCACGCGTGTGCGTGCGTGTGTGTGTGTGTGTGTGTGTGTGAGAGAGAGAGAGAGAGAGTGTGTCAATCTCAGTCACCAGGCTGGAGTACAGTGGTGCCATCTCAGCTCCTTGCAACCTCCATGGCCTCTGTGTGTGTGGGGTGAGGAGGGAGAAGGGAAGGAGGGAGGGAGGGGGAGTGGGACTCAGTCTTGGTCACCAGGCTGGAGTACTGTGGCGCTATCTTGGCTCACTAAAATCTCTGCCTTTCAGGTTCAAGTGATTCTCCTGCCTCAGCCTCCCGAGTAGCTGGGATTAGAGGTGTGCACCACCACACACAGCACATTTTTGTATTTTTCGTAGAGACAGGGTTTCACCATGTTGGCCAGGATGGTCTCAATCTCTTGACCTCACCACCCTCCTCCGCCTCCCAAAGTGTTGGGAGTACAGGCATGAGCCACCACTCCCGGCCTCTTATGGCTGTTTTTACGCTGCTGGTTTAATTTCCTGAATTTTGGTCAGAGTTAATACAGAAATTTTGCTTACAACACAGCAGCAAGGGCTATGTGAGAACTCTGACCCATCTAGGTGTGAGACAGGTACTAGATAGGGAGGACACGGAACATCTGCAAGGTGGACCAGGTGTGCACCAGACATTTGAGAGCTACCTATCTGGGGTGACTCTGTTGTCATCCTCTGTTGAGGGTATTCCCAGACATACTGCCCCGACGTGCCTCATCCCCAGCAGATGCCCACTCAGCATTGTTTTTCTTGAGTAGTTGGTGTGCAGAGGAACTCTGGTCTCTGAGCGATTACTGAGCCTAGAGAACAGCCACATGACAGAACCTGGCTGTATTTACACATGATGCCCCTGACCTGTATTTATAGCAGCCATGCTTCCTGGGCTTTCCAAGCTCTCCTCCACATGAAACAGTCTCTTGTGTTGCCATTCCCTAGAAATACACTGGGCAGCAGCAGCACAGCTGCTGTGTTCAACACCGTGCCTGGGTCTGGGGCACCGAATCTAGATTTACCACCCTTTTCTAAGCCCCGCAGGAGGAGCATTAGTGACCATACCCATGATGGAGGAAGTGGTGGTGTCCTGTTTGGTTGGCTTAGGTGGCTTGTTGAGGAGGGAGACTGGAGAGAAGAGTGGGCAGTAGAGAACTGGACCCTCCGTTCATTCCTTTTGTTGCTGCCCTTGCTTTGTGTAGATGCCCTGCTCTGACTCTGGTGGGTTTCTGGGTTCATAAGGTTTATACCCACAAGACAGCACTCCACAGGGTAGAGAGAGTTGGGGAGGGGCAGCAAATAGACACAGTACATGTGTGTTTTCCAAGTGCCTGCTGCGAGCTTTGAACCTCCAGGCCCTGACCTCTGAGCACTAGTTGCTGAGGGCATTAAACTCATTTCCAGGACGGACGAGAAAACAGCTGAGTGCGGACTAAGTGGCACTCACCCAAGCCCCAGCTGGAGCTCTGAGAGGGAACATTGTGCAGAGAGTGCAGGCAAAGGCTGCCCGCAGCAAGGGTGGCCAGAGAGCCCATGTCTGGGGCCAGATGGTTCAGGCACAGA